AAAACTAGAACTGCCGTCTCGCAGGGCAAAATGTCACTGTCGCATGCCGATCTTAAGTCTAGCAAATGGAGCACGAGAAATTAGTATTTAAAAAATTACGCCAAACTACACACATTTTATAACAATATACATGACCTTTTTTAATGAACTGATTTTTTAGAATAGATTTCGTTTAAAACAATTCACCTTTTTCCAGCACATTATTACAATACTTATTCTTCTTACGTAAAGTGCGAGAAAGTAAAAATTATATTTGAAACTGTACATTTGTAACTTTCATTTTTTGTATATTTGTAATTTTTTATACAATAAATCCTAGTTCGGCTAATTTCATTTTAGATTATTAGGCCTACATAGCGACGCTATTTATCGCGAAGGCATTATACTCGTATACTGAAACCATCTAAAACGAAGCGTGGGAAATTCGAATTTACCATTTCAATTTTTTCCACACAAAATATAGAGCGTAGAACGTAAACAAAGAGCGTATTTCTCTGAAAAAATTTGATTTTTTCAATTTTCGATAAATCAGGGAATTTAACGAACATAAGTCCTGTGTCATTTCCTTAAGTGTCCTTTACGCTATCCGAGCTCAAATGTAATCAAAAATATCGACAGCAGCCACATTGATTGAAGAAAATCGATGATGAAGAAAATCGACTGAATGGATTAGTCGTTAGAGTTGTTCACAGACAGACGGACAGACGTTTTGCCGTCAATCGACTTTTCGGCATCAAGAATCCACAAAACATGGATTCAGGCTACATCGCGTGTTACAGGATTGGTTTCTATATATATTATCAACTGGATATATCCACTTTTCTGTTACCATGCGGTTTTCTGCTGAAAATTCGCTGTTTTCCCCCACAGCATTACATAACTGTCTCTATAATGCGAAAACAGTAGCAAGTAAAACGGCATAACCAAGAAATGTAAACACTTATATTAATGTTAAAAAGATGAATGAATTATTATTGAATTATATTTGTGTTAGAATGGATTATTTTTGTAGGGATGTGCACATACACACACATACGCACGCGCGTGTAAGCACACACACATTTACCATTATACATAAACTTCACAAAAAGCATAGACATGAGTTGTAATGAATATTTTTCTTCTAGCGTAGATTTCTAAATTATTTCAATTGAAAAGTGAGTGAAATAGAGAGGGAGTTTGGAGGTGGGGGCAGGGTAAGGTGGGGCAAGGACGAGTGGGGCGAGCATGCAATAGAATAAACAGAAGTAGGTGAGCATGGACTAGAAAGAATTCCTGACTAATAATAGCTTCTGAATAATGAATGCCGGAGCAACACGTGCACATCAGTCCAGTGTTTAATATTAAAATATACTTTCATCAAAATTGTAACTTTTATGATACTTAATGTTTTCTCGCCTAAACATGCAAAGTGCATTGATTGCTGTTAGTGTAACATCTCTTTACGCAAAATCCGGCGGTTTACTTTGTGATGTTAGTATTGTGCCATGTACAATGTCTTCAAAAATTTTTGTTGTTGTTTTGTTTGTTTCATAGATTTTTGTAATGGACGCTTTGTATATAGGCATGATATTGTCCAAGGCCAAGAGTATTTTCAAAATATCAGCTTACGTAACACCGGCAATACACATTCTTTTTTGCTGTTGGAAGAAAGCCAATTTCTTAGACAAATTAATCTCCATAACTCAACCTCTTTTCAATACTAATATCTGAATTATCTTTCGGGGTAATGAGCCAACAATTTGAAAAGAGAGCAAAAAAGCTGTTATCTGAAAATAATTTGAATGCAATAAATTATTTTCCCTGTGAATATATTTACTACATGTTTTACTATAGATGCAAGTGTATAACGTAAATACTGGATAGAAATGGCAAAATAAAAAATAAAAAAAATAAAACATTTACCAATATTAAAATTATATTTTCTTGTTCACGTGATATTTTATTGTTTAAATTAATCAATCCATTCCATTCTAAGAAAGAAAGAAAGAAGACTAAAATATTCGTGATATACAGCAAAAGGCTAAGATTAACAAATTACTACATTTGTCTGACACATCAAGCACGTCAGTGATGAGAAGGAAGAGAAAACTAAATTGTTAACGTAATCAAACCACTTTAACCACACACAATTCGAATTTGTCAATACTTTCCAATCGTGCATTGACGCAGAAACAAGTGTTCTCCAAATAGATGAAGAGATAATGAAAAGTAGATGGGCGTGGCTTTAACCGGTCAAGGTCACGCCATCGGTACATCCGCTTATTGTTCGACGACCCTCGCGAACTCTGTGGGCTGATCTTCCCTTACTCAAGCGTCTTTAAGCTACCATCGCACTTGCGTGCAGGCAATTCAAAATCGCGTGCATCTCCCTTTACACTTCATTCAAAAGCCCTGGCCTTGGCTTCTGTATCGTAGTTAAGCCACGGGGTCGCTCAGCTTATCACATAGCAACGTAACATCGGAATCGTTTGACTAGCATGAAAATGTAATTTATTTCTTCCCGACGAATTTTAGATGCCAGCAAATGTAATAAAAAAGTAAATAAATAAATAAATAAAGTCGCGTTTTTTCATATGCCTTCAACTGCCGAATGTATCTGGAGTAAAACAAAACAATAAAGTTGATGCGTTAGCTTTAAGTAGTAACTGATTGCCCCAACTACTGAAAACGAGCCGAGATGTCTAGATTCGAGTCCCGACAGCGCAGGTGCGTATTTACCAGCAAGTGACTAAATCAGGAGTTCCCAGCGGGTTCGGTATCAACCGTTGATGAAACTTTGAAGGGGTCCATGATGATCAAGGGGTCGATTGGCGACTACGGTCTAAAATAAATCAGCGATTGAAAAGTATAATCAAGGTGTCATCGATTGCAAAGCATATTAAATAATCTTGATAATTAATTTCTCTCTGAAATAGTGCAACAAATTGTATAAATTACAAATTCGTTTTTCTCTTTCGTAATAAGGCCCCCGCGGACGGATATCGGGAAATAATAGAGTGGTTATCCTGAATAGGAATCTATCCGACAAAATTCCCGAAATCTTTACTATAGTGAAAAAGTGATCTATGAGACTCAAGGCAGGACCCCATAAACTCAGTTCAGCTTAAAATCGTTGGGAAAGATGACATTATTTTACTCAAAAGATGTGCTTCACGCGAAGAGCATTCTAACTCTCCGGACGCAACCCTCCCAACAAGAGGGCGCACGCTAGCCTGTTATTTTTATCGCTTTGTGCTGTTCAGTATCTACATATAGAGGTTGGAAAAGAAGGATAAATATTGAAGAATGGAAGGTTAATAAAACAATAAAAATAGGAAAGGTCATTTAATATCAAGAAAATGTGCATCTGTAAATGTAGTGGAATAGTGATCTAACAATTTTTTTAAGAACATTATACTATTTTGTGAAATTTACAAATCTGAAGAATAATTAGGAAGTGTAAATTCCTATTACAGTAAAACGCATATCATTATTGAGCGGTATGTTTATGTTTACCGATATTACATTATGATTTCAAGACTTTTACAAAATAAAAGCGCATTGCTTTGTAGTGCATAGGCACAATTTTCTACCCTGCGACAGAGATTAGCTTGCTTGTGTAAATATATTAATCTAGAACATCGAGCAATTTATGAAACTAACATTATATTATTGACGATCTTTGGCTATACTCTGCTATAAGTTTTATTTTGTATTGCATTTTGTGTTCATATTGCGAGTTGAATGTTAATATGAAAATGATTCAATGTTGGTTTTATCACTATTCTTTGTTGTTGTTAGAACTGTTTTCTATAAACCTTCGAATATTTTCGTTTAAAAACGTTTCGTTTAAACTGAAACACGGTGAACAACACTTGAAATATAACATAGAATCTTTTATCTAGGGTAGACTCTTATATGAGTACACATTTTTATAGCTGGTTTGTAGTTTATTTTACAGAAAACTTTTTTTGCGTCTCCGGAGAAAAAAGGTTCTAGCTGGTTGGACCCCCCTTTGGGACTTCTCAATTGCACTAGTCATATTAATACACAACATAGATTTATAACACTTAATTTCACGTTCATTGTAAACAGGAGTCCATTTTCACATTCTGTACAGGAGTATTCCAGAACCAAGCTACGTAGCAGCTTAGTATGTTAAGAAAACTCGAAAAAGTATAACTATGTATTCCACACCATTCTATTGTGGAGAAGAGCGATTTTGTAATTTATTATTATGTTTTGTGGCTCTATATCAGAAGAAAGTACTTCCTGCAATACCTACAGGAGAAATGTTGAGGGTCAGTTAATAACGCTCAAAATTGTCACAATTTCGCAACAATGAAGATTAGTTAGACATTCATCTACTTAGGATTGGAAGAATCTTCTATTAATAAAAATATACATATATACCAAAATATTTGTATACCAATATTTTTATATATTATATATTATACCAATATTGGTATCTTTAAGACAATTCCGTGCAATTTTTTGTGCTATAATTACGTATGATAAGTTATAAGGAATAACGTAAGGGGGTGGATGGAACCAATAATTCTTTGAAAGGGGGTCGATGGCCAAAGAAGGTCGGGAACCCCTGATCCAGGTCGACCTACGTTAACCACTACTCGGATTCACTAGCATCCGAAATTCTAGAGACCGGCTGCTCTGGTTGATGTTTTTCCACTGCTTCCTGCGATCAAGACGGATGTCAGTGTAGTTCATTAAACAACGGGTCACGGAACGTGCACACCATACATCCTTCGTTCACCAACCTGTCTCCGCACCCCAATTTAGGCGATAGGCTAATCTATTCCCGGGGCGGGCCATTGCCCTTCCCAACGATATCGAAAAACTCCATGTGCGGCTGTTTTAGGCACGAACGGTGAGGTAATGTCGCGCCGGAATGATAACTAAAACGAAGTTTGCGCTTTTCAATGTATTCTTGTGCTACGTGCTTATCGCTCTAAAACGCAAGGCGTGTTCGGGAGCTTGCGCCAAAGCACCGCTTCATCCGGCCAGTCCAATGGCCACGCAGCGTTGGTCGGCGCATGCGCACTGGGCGCGTCGCGCGCTCCTCTACATAAGGCCGCATGGGCGCCTCCTCGCGGCACTGCACGAGCGGCGAGATCCCTGTGCAGCGGCGATCGATCGGCGAAAATGGCCAACAAGAAGGACAACCTCACCGCGGTGCTGTACACCGTCAACGACCTGCGGCTTGTAAGTACCGTGGCCACGCCATTTTCTTATTTCATTGAAATTTTTCGACCTTCGTTCCTTTTCAACCTGTCGCGCATGCCGCGTACGTTTTTCGGGGCGTCTGGCATGTCGGCTGGAGAACACGGAACGCAAATAGCAGCTTCGCCCGATGAGAAGATTAGCTACACTGCTGTCACAGTTGGCATTAATCACATTTTCCTCTAGATGACCTCGGTTAGAAACATGATCGTCACTATGGTCACGCCTGTCATTCCACGCGCTACTGAATTTTCATAAAGCCTAGGTCGCGGAAGGTCATAGTCGTTTAAATGATTGACTTGTTTGTTTGTTGAAGTCGAGGACACACACGACTTGCCTGTTTACAGAAGTAGTTAAAGCTGAATAATTTTTCACCTGACACTTCATTTGAAAAATGCTTACAAGCAGAGTCGAATTGCTACATCTAAGTGGCCTAAGCTTGACCAAACTGTAGTGCCTCATAATAATTATAAAACACTGAACATGAACATTGAAAAGAAAACTATAGCCTTTAAAATTTGTTTCCAATATTTATGAACTAATATAAAATGTTGTTTAAAAAAAGTGATTGGCGGTCCCTACTTAGCTTTAAGCACGTGCTTAGTCTGCTTATGTTTTAATCCGCCGCTGATCGATTCGACCAACAAAACAGGCTCGTTTATGACCTCTTTATTTGAAGGCCTACATTTGATTAGAATGGATAAGGATTCCGAAGAGATAACAGCTTTTTACCAAGCATTAATAACTGATGCATCTTTCCTTTAAAGCAGATACATTCGCACATAACCAAAATATTAATAGCAACAAAACAAATTATTTTTAATGAGGCATTCTAGATAAGAGTTCAAAAGAGAAAACAGCTAATTTTGAAAAAGCCGGGCAAGCAATAAAAAAAATAAGGAAAAACGATAGAGAAAACAACGAAAACTACTTCTAATTTTTCGATGTCCCATACTCAAAATATTATTTCGTTATTTTCAGAACATTTCTAAAATTCCTGTTTAAAATATCGTCCGACACGCATCTACTCAGGTTCAATTTTTGTTATAATTTTTTTCTCATTAGTAATAATTTCTGCTAATTTCAACACTCTACTGACGTCGAACGGGAAAAAAATGGGTTCCTTCGGTGAAAATTAGTATTAGAGCCTTATTAAATTAAATATCTGTACAAAGAAAACTGTCGCTTCAATAATAATAATAATAATAATAATAATAATAATAATAATAAATGTACGTCCTAATTTCGATTAAATAATCGTCCCTCTCTCATTCCGCTTGAAGTGAAATCGAAGCCATTTCTTCGAAGTATTGAAGACACCTGGGCATTTCTTGTAAGACACAATTAATATAAATTAAAATATCCAATGGATCTGAAAACTGAAGATTAATTTTGTCAATCCTCTCCACATATGACAATGATACAAAGCATTAATTTTGAAAGAACCTTCTGTCTGTATCTGTTGCACAAACAGCTTCCTTAGGGTCAGACTGACGTAAGTACTCGCATAAAATATTTGAAGTCAGGAAAATAAAACACTTTTTCCGCTCCCTTGGCTCTAATAAGATACATAATTTTGTAGATAAGGCAAACCCTAACTTCTGTACTACATGTGAAATTTCGAAGTAATTTAACAAAACGAAATTTCCCCAAATTCTAGATATCAGACATAAAAAAGAAAACACTACTTCGCCAGCACGATACACGTTAACAATAAATTATGCATGGCCTTGTACAAACGAGTGACATTTATTCTTTTTTTGCAGGAGCAGCGGCCCATTCCAGAACCGAAGGACGATGGTGAGTGTTTTCCGTCACGCCGCACTGGTGCTAGCCGCTGTTGATTCAAGTAGACGTTCAGACTGACTTGACCGCTATTAAATATCAAAAAGGAGGTCGGGTGTTAAAAGAATCAAAAGAGACGTACGTCATAGGGGGTTTAATTTTCTTAAGTGACTCAGTTCAAACGATGAGAACCTCAGGACTGCTCACTGCTCATCAGGAGTCACGCAGTAAAAAGTAGATGGTTTCGTGCAGCCTGTGCACATAAAAGTAGTGGTGCTAAAGAGCATTTTTTTCTCGCCTTTTAAAGGCTACACAATATAATACACACAGACTTGCAAAACTGGTGCTGACTAGCGAAAATGTTTCCTCTGCGCTAGGATTCGAACTCGGACTAGCACGCCATTCACGTTACCCCTACACTACCAGCCTCACAGTAAATCGCAACTTTCCTTATGCTTTAAAAAAAGTTGAACATTTGCATTTGAAATTTTAAAAATATTTTAATGTCCTCTATTATTTCAAGATCTGGTTTCAAGAAGGGAAAAAATCATTGGTGCTGTAGTTTTGCAATGTTTGCTTTTTGTTCGCAATTTTCCAAAATTTAGTTCGCCGAAAATGGAGCCTGCACAATTTTTTAAAATGTTATTTGCTTTACAAAGCAGGAACTACTCAAGCAAAACTCGAGTAGAGTTATAAATTCAAAGTAAAAAATTGGAACCTTTCTACCAAAAAATAAATAAATAAAAAACATAAATTGCCTTGAGATCTTGGAAAATTCGGAGAATACAGAGAAATTGAGTCCTGCGCTCATCTTTTAAACGTCCTCTGCTCTACCCGTAGAATATGTTTAATCGAAAAATTTGGAACCCTTTTGGAGAAAAAATCGAAAATGTTAAGTGTAAAGTACCTCTAAAGTCAAAACATCAGTTCCAAACTTTCAGAGTCTCGAGTTCGTCCAGATCGATCAGGGATTATCAAATTTGGAGAAAATCATCTGAACGGTGCAGGTGCTAACTTTGACTACAGACAGACGTTTTTTTAACCAATTTATCCATATCAGCGACCAGTCAGACCGATCAGGGAATATCAGTTTTGATGAAAACCCTACCTACAGTTTAGCCGCTGGTGTTTTCACTGACGGTCGGATAGACGTTCTCCCGTCATCCAATTTCTTCGAATCAAGGACCTGCAATACGCTTATTTTGGCAACACAACATATCAGAGAATTAGATTTACTATGACACAACCAAGAATTACTCATATTTTCAGTATCAGGGACCCACAAAGGGTTTCCTTTGTCAAAAAATCGGCATTTTAAAACTATGTTAATTATTATATTAAAATAAATGAACAAATAGTATATTATTAATATAATATTATTGAAACATTAACAATTAAAAATTTAAAAATGTAAATATGAAAACAAAACAATTTCTGAATGCCAACAATGCCTTGAATATGTGTAACTTGTGTATGTACCATTTGGTATTTTAGGGTTGGATTAATCTGACTTTTGCTAGCTAGTGGCATTCCCCAGCTTGAGTCCTGTTTTTATTTATTATCTCAGCCTGGAAGTAAGGGAGACCTGTGAGAGCATGACATATTCTCATCACGGTATTTAGCACATTTGGATGCCAGAGCTTTTCTTTTGTCATACATCAACAGAAACTGAGAAGACAATTATTGTATTAAAAAGCCACAGCTCAATTTTTACCCCAACCGGAGATCGAACCCAGATCACACCAGAGAGAGCCGACTCCCTGACCACGAGCCACCCAAGGGGAGAACCTGGAATATTTATATTATTTTAAAGTTGACATGAAGGTTCCAAACATTTGCTACTTGCTACATAAATTATAAGGATAAGTCTACTTTATAAATTCATAAGCAACAATTATTTATTAACTTGGAGTAGGGATTCTGGAGCTCAAGAACATATGTGCACATTACACTTCTCCCCAACTTGCCCCATGCAGTTTTACTGATTTTTGATGTAAATAATGAAATAAAACTTGATCCTGAAATAAGATAATTTATTACTTTGAGAACAAAGAAACATTAATATCAAATCATTGTTTTGTACAAGAAAATAAATAAAACATTCATTTGAGAATTATACTAAATGTTTACCTTATTTACAGAGGTTCTTTTGCAAATGGGCTGCGTAGGAATATGTGGTTCTGATGTGCACTATCTTGTGCGAGGAAGAATTGGTGATTTCATTGTGAAAGAACCAATGATAATGGGCCATGAAGCTAGTGGTATTGTGGCAAAATTGGGAAAAAATGTAACAAATTTGAAAGTAGGTAAGTATCATGAAACGATTATTGATATTATCCATAAGAATACCTCGCTTCACAAGGCTTTATAGATGCTATTTTCCTTAGGTAAAAATGTAGTAATATCTATTTATCAATATATGAACTTTTAAGAGTTCATGGACTGATTTTCCTTGAAATGTCAATATTAAATCATTTTCAGATTTAGTAATCTTTTATCTCAAGTACCTGATAGCTTTGTGAAAAAACAAGCTACTCAGGACTTCTTAAGTATTGAAAATATTGATAAGATATAGTATTACATACTCCTGCAACTGTTTCCTTGACAAGTAATTGCTGTATAAAACCTGCTTTTTTTCCTAATTTTTAATTAGGATTTGGAATTAGATTGGTACTTGGATTTATAAATGCCATGATTTTGTAGAATTGGAATTACACTAGAACTCTTATTTCCCAGGTGACAGAGTTGCAATTGAACCAGGCGTGCCTTGCAGGAAATGTAATTACTGCAAAGAGGGCAGATATAATTTGTGTCCCTCAATATTTTTCTGTGCAACTCCCCCAGATCATGGAAATCTCTCTCGTTACTATGTACATGCTGCAGATTTTTGTTTTAAGTAAGTATGCTTTCTGATTTTTAAATATAAATTGTCACTCCCCTAACAAAAAATCAATATAAATGTACATTTAATCATCACCAATAAATTATAGATGAATATCAAAACTTCCTTGTCTATTATGATTGATGATCTTGTTAATTGCAATTTTTTTTTTGAGCAAGCCATTAAAATTTTATTATCAACTCAATTTTCTTCATGATGGAAAAAAGTCAATATGTTTTCATTACTTAAACAAAACCAATCATGTAGACCTATGAGAACATAAACAAAAAAGAAGATTTATTTTAACTTGTCAAATAAGTTTGCATTTCTTCCTTTTCACAATCTGTTATCAAATGAATAATTATATGAAAAAGACTTAATGAATTATATAAACCCAAATTAACTTTAAACTTTGCTATAAATATGTCTTATTTGTTGATAATTATGACAACCACAAAATTATCCTTTATTGATCAACTTGTAGATTTACTATAAACAGACTGTATTTTTTTTTTTTTTTAATTTTTAAAAAATTTACATTTGAAGTAACTAATGTAGTTGAGCTTTGATACAAATAATATATCAGTTATGACTTGGGTAACTATGAAATTATCCACAGATTAATTTTGTAGTGAAGCAATTATCAAACTCTGTCCAGGTTACCAGATCATATGAGTTTAGAAGAAGGAGCTTTGTTGGAGCCATTATCAGTAGGAGTACACGCATGTCGGCGAGCCAATGTTCAGCTGGGCAGTGTGGTACTCATCTGTGGAGCTGGACCTATTGGCCTTGTTACCCTTCTCAGTGCCAAGGCAATGGGTGCAACGAACATTATCATCACTGGTCAGTATCTGGTCAAGTGTTGGGTACTTAATAACCTTATCTTAAGTTTAAAGAGAGACTATAGATTCTCCTTTCCTGAATTTTCTTACTGTCACCTTATCATCAAAGAGCGTATTGAAAATGTTACAACACTTATATTACATTACATTATGTATTAGTTTGATAACTTTCACAAATATTCAATTTTTAGTTGTATAAACTAGCACAGAATTATCAATGAAGATTAATTACGATAATAACCTATTTAACGCTATTATAGAAAGAATACAAAATGATTAATAAATGTAAAATCAATCACTAAAACAGAAAATATTCTTCACTGCTCAAAATATATTGCATTAGTAGTAAATTTTCTATTTTTTGTGCTTCTTTAACAATGATTTTCCAATTTTTCATTTTGTTTAAAAAAAACTGACCTTGAAATAAAAAAAAGAATGTAATATTTTAAAGATAATAATGCACATTTTTTAATTTTTTTTAAAGATATTGTGCAGAACAGACTGGATATTGCAAAGGAACTGGGAGCAAATCACACTGTTCTAATCACACCAGATCTAGATGAACAATCTGTCATCAAGAGTGTACACAAGACTCTAGGTACTGCTCCAGACATTTCCATTGACTGCAGTGGAGCTGAATCTTCCATTCGACTGGCTATTCAGGTGAGCACTTAACAGGGCAGTCAAAACATTAGTTTTTGATTTTTGAGAAGATCAAAAGAAAGAAAAATAGTTGGTAATAAAAAGTATGTTTGTCTTGTGATACATTTTAATCCTTAAAAATAAAAATAGGTACAATAACAATTCCTGATGACAACCCCTAGACTGTTCATCTAATTATCATAATTTTTGAAATGTGGAGAGATTTAAGCCCAGTTAAGAGTCTTTTTGTATTGTATTACTTTGATGGTGGACTCTGTGTAGTGTTTCTCATAGAAAAAAGGATAGATAATATAAGTTTGCTGATTCTCCAATAATACAAGTATGGCTGCTGATAACACAGCAGCCATTCTTGTATTATTAGAGTAATTAATTAGAAATTGCTCAGATTTGAATATAATTACAATAAAAAATAGGAATGTAAAATGAGGCTCACTTGAATCACTGGTCACAAGAAACACATTAGTAATAATTTCTAGGTGTGCCTAAGACAGTTTTCAAACTACATCTCCCAAACGAATGCTCAGATTTTATTACAATGAATGACAAAAAGAAATCCATAAAGCAAGGTAAAATGTGATCCTATAGTTTATCCTATCCTACTAGTTTAAAAAAACAACTATTTGCTGACCTTATCAAAGGGGACAAGTTTCAATTGAGTAAACAACTTCAACCAAAATAATACTTTATGTTCCAGTTTTTTAGTTGATTTAAATGAAGTTGTCATTAATATATTTATATTATGTATACAATATATTTGTTCAGAATACCCAATGTGTACAACACAGTTGTTTCTAATGTTGGATAGTCAGTGGTTCAGGCATACAAACAAAGCCCAAACACAGTAACACTGATACAACTGAGTTTGAAAGTATTGTATTTAAAAAAATTTAAATTTTAAAACAAAATTCTTGTGTATGGACCTTTATACTCAAAAATGAAATCTCAAGAACAGACGGTCCACATTTTCTATATGTCTTCTGCTGGCACTGACTGTTAAATTGAGTTATGAAATGTGACCTCTTTATTAGGGTAATAATAAAACATTAATCGTGTTTACTTATCTGTAGGCAACCAAAAATGGAGGAGTTGCTGTGCTTGTTGGAATGGGTGCACCAGAGGTGAAAGTTCCCTTGGTGACAGCTTTGATCAGAGAAGTAGATATCCGGGGAGTATTCAGATATTGCAATGAGTAAGTAAAATAAATTACCACTTTGAACACATTTCTGATGAAGGCAATTTTCTGGAATTCTCTTGTGTATCTTCAAAAAATTTTCTGAAATGAATTTAATTGAGATAATAGCATGTTACATTGTAAAATTGTCAATGAAAAAAACATTGTTTTAAGTATATTAATTTTAAACACACTTTTTACAGTTATCCTCTAGCCTTGGAGATGGTAGCTTCTGGGAAAGTGAATGTGAAACCACTGATAACACACAATTTCAAGCTGGAAGAGACACTTGAAGCCTTTGAGACAGCAAAAACAGGAAAGGGCAACCCCATTAAAATTATGATTCACTGCCTTCAAAAAGGCTAGGAAGATTTTGTTTGCTTAAATAACTACTTTCTTTTGTATGATGTTTACACTCATTGTTACAAATTGTAAACTCTTTCGAAAATTGTTGTAAAGAATTCTGAAAAATCACTCAATAAAAGTATAATATGTTATTTCACATCATTTTCATTTCTTAATTAAATTTTATTTAGCCTTAATTTTCAAACAAATTTTCAAAACAATAACATCCAATAATTCCTGAAAACTCTTAAAACAGCAATTCAATACTATCCTAATACTTTTATAAATTAACAACAGTACTAAAAAAATGCAAGTTCAGTATTTTGTGAGCGGTTGTTAAAGGACAAATTCCAACATTCGATATCTCTCTATCCTCACTACGTTACTAACGTTTTAGTTCAGACACTATTTTGTCGTTAGTGAGAGCATAAAAAGCATATAAATTGCTAAAAAGTTAAGATATAATAGGATTGTGTCAGACATCAGGTATTTGACTCTTTTAAAAAATATAATAAAACTTACTGATATTTCGGAAAAAAACAATTTATTTTCAACAAAAATATTACAATAACTGTCAGCAGGTTCTAACACCACAAATAAATGGAGATCCTTCTCTTTTAGTATCCAACTTGGAGGGGGTGGCGGGCCCCAAAAATTATCATGAAAATCTGATGTGATTAAATAAAATATAACAAATATTTAAAGAAATTCTCTTAAAATTTTAGAGATTTGCATTTACACTCGCTAATGGAAGCCTTTTTAGCAGCGGTGCTGAGAAATCAATTTCTTGAACAGTATTGGTAATACGTAACATGACATACTAAAAAAATGTTGAAAATGTAAATTAAAAAAAAAAAAATTACAGGTTTGTGATGAAATGGTATCCACAACTACACCTGATACTAAGCTTCTGCTCAGTCAAAAAAGTATCAAAAACCACCATCTTTCAGTCAGTCAATATTTAAATAAGTTCAAATGAACAAGTTTCAAAATTAACTTATGTACAAATATCACAAATGTAGCTCTAAATGTCTAATAAATTTTATTCAAAGGCAAATATACAATGGGGTGCTTTTCTCCAACACTAGCTGCCTTCTTGACAATGCTGACTACGAATACTTGCTTGTTCTGATAGGGCCCGAGGCTCATGTAAATGTGTAGTTAGCTGAACACCTTGATGTTGAGCAGAATAGAAAAATCCCCAATTGGCAGATACAGTGACAGCTTGCATGCTGTCACCAGTTCCAAACACAATTTTTGGTTTGTCTTTAATTTGTCCACTGTTCTTTAAGTTTTTCACTCTCTCAGATACACAATCTGGAACAACAGTTATTCTTTGCAGAAATTGTTCTGCTCTCTTTTTTTCATTTTCACCTCCAACAACTGCAAGGATTTCCTTGAATCTTGTCATGGCAGTTTCACAACAGTAAAGCTCTTTGCCTTCAAAAAGTTTGTTCAACATATCTTTAACTTTTGTCTTCCTTTCAGATTGAGCTTGAAGAGTAAGAGGTTCTTGGATAAATTTCACACATGTACCTCCATTAGTCATGTCAGATACATAAGCTATCAAAGTAGTAATATCCAAATTAAGTTTCAAAATTGGTTTTCTTAAGGCATCATCATCTTTTAGTACATGAGAAGTTGATTCAGCCAAATCACAGTTTTCTTCTTCCTCAGATTCTTCATCTGAACTATCACAAACAGTATTATAAGTGGTAGGAAGCAAATCACCAATAACTTCAATACCCACGTTGGAAATTTTTGTAGCTAGAGCAGAGTCAACCCCTGAAGAAAATTTAAAAATGACTTTAGGAGGAACATAAAAAATTGGATTTTGTGAGGCACACTTAATAAAATCTTTTGCCTGATCAAAAATTGTGCGACTACCATAATTAGTGTCACCTAAACAAGACATCATCAAACCTTTGGGATTTCTAGCAGTGACCTTCACCCACTCTTTTCCCTCATCTTTCACTATATCAACAACTATACGTTTAAGGTTTCCTTGAATTTTAAATGTAAAAGGCTCTAAGACTGCAACACACTTCTCCAATTCAAAAACTGTAGAAATTAAAGCTTTGAAATGAATTAAGTTTGTCGTTGTCAGATGTTTGGCTTGTATTGTTTTCGAGGCAGCTACTTTGTGGAGAAATGTTCTTTCTGCAAGGATAAGTTTCTTCAGCTTCGACACTCCCTTTATATTACTAAGATCCCGTAATAAATCCATCAACTCATCTGCCTCCTTTATTTTGTCCATGTACAGTTGTTCTAGATTATGCTCCATGTCTATGTTGTTATAATAAATAAATCAAAGCACACTCAAAATATTTTCACTCTTACAGTTGGTATCGAAAACAGTATTTCTTTCTCATAATTTCAATAAGGTATCATTTTATACAAAATCAAAGTTCATTTCTTTCAAACTCATCACTACAATAACAAATACAATTTATGAGTGACGTTAGCAAGTCTAACCTCACCTCTCCCATTCACTCTGCATTCAGTCGTCTGTTATTATTTTCACTACAAAATTTGCTTTGATTGCTGTCCATAGAGAGTATATACTGTCCATAAGTTTCCGTTTTAACCCGGATTATCTCGATCCGTACTTGTGAAACATGTGAAATCTTAATATCAGATTAGCGTAATCCACCTACTTATACTCTGCCTATATACATCACTTAAGTTGGGTCGGGCATGACCGCACTTAGCCACAGAGCAGAGCATCTTAATCAGATCTTATTCCTTCATGGTATTGATGGTGGTTTAATGCGGTTTGATTCATGACGTCTGTACCATGGACTTTGTACGTGACTAAATGCGGCATGCTTCTTGCATCACGTGTACTGAAACAATGTGGCAAATAAAGATCTCAAGCTGGAAGGAGCAGGAGGACCAGGAGGACATTATTATTCAATCGGGAGCTCCAATACCAAAAATTTAAGTGATAACCGATGCGATTCCCTTTCCGTTTAGCTTCTGATCTTCAACCTTACTAATAAAAGCATAGTGTAACTTCGTTATAACACTCTCATTCCGGAAATAGTTACTTCCAGCGTAAGTTCGGAATAAGGATGGATTAAATTTTTACCAATAACAGCCGGTAAACCGTAGCTTAAGAAGTCCTTGTTAGCAATGGAATCAATTCTTGCAACGTTGCTTCATACACACGTTGGTGCATTTACTTTATTCTTTGGTGCCTCTGTAAGACTTAGCGGGAATTTCGCGTTACGTTTGAACAGAAAGCATTTTTTCCTGAATTGTGTGATTGCATTTGTAGTTAGTGACTGAATTGTGTGATTGCATTAGTAGTTATCGATGAACGAATTGTGTTCGAAGTACGATTTTTTTGAATGCTGGTGTCCATTAAAAGAAAATTAAATGAAGCGCTTGTGTGGGTTAAGAATATATAAACGATTGCAGAAAGAGCACAGTTTAAAAATAAAATCTGACAAATATCATGAGAAAAATATGTGAATTCGGTGAAATAAATAAACTGTTCAGTACGTTTATGAATATAACGCTTTCAGAATTGCATTTATACGCCCTCTTTTTTTTTTCAATGAGAAACAATTGTGAAAATTTTAAAAATTTGTCTCTAAATCCAAATAATAATGTAAGAATCCCAAAAAACACATTCTAAAAAACTGAAAATTGATTCTTTTAAATCCTGTATTCATCTCACAACCAACTTTTATAATTTTTCTTATTTCACATGCATCTAAAAATTTTGCTTTAGGAAAAATTATATTCCAAATTCTCGAATATGTTAGTGTTTCCTTAAGTACATTTCCCATCCTCCTTAATTTAAATAATTATTTCCCCCCTTTTCAATTTATTTCTTTTAAACAAAATGGTATTTATTCAAACATAGTTAATAAGTTATTCTTTTAAATGGTGGGTAATATTATTTACCTTCAGATTATATGCTTGCATCTTGCCATATATAATTATTGTATATTATAAAATTTTACAATGGAATAGGTACAAAATAAATATAATAAAAAAATAAGATTATTCTAACTTGATTGAAAAATGTTAATATGATTGTTGAGTAATAATTGAGAGAGATTAATATAGAAAAGAGATATCAGAGATAATTAGAAAAGAAGAAATCTTCCATTCAACTTTATCACCAATTAAAACTGCAGTTTCAATTCATTTTACTCATATACATTGGCAACACAATTTTGATATAATGACAGAACATTATTCAATTTTTGTGCTGTATAATTGGACAATGTTACTATTTGTGAACTAATTTATATTCAATTTATTACCATTTGATTTAATCCCACTTATATGAATTATTAAAAGTTAAATTGTTCCAAGCAAGCCCATGTCAAGTTGAATTTTCCCTTGCTCACAAAAAAAAATATTTTTTTTTCATTTTTGTTGACATACAACTAATTGAAAATGTGTAGATAATAGCGAATGCATGAAATTAGTTTCTGACCCATAATAGAAGATTTATCATCTCAAGAATATCTATTTTCTATTTATTCATTTTCTCAACTGTTACCGTTTCAAAACTTAATATAAATAATATATCACTAAAATTCTTTCACTTGAGAGAATGTAAAATAATAGTTTTGCCTTGTCTTACTACAGTGTATCTTAAAGGCAGGCATCAACTTAAAACAGCATGCTAAAATACCCCAATATTAAGATTATTTTTTTTATTTTAAGACAGTAGTTGATGAATTAAAATACTCATTTACATGAATATTTTTCACTAAGGATCAACTTTGATACTGACATGTTTGTAACTATTGCTTACCAAATTAAATTAAAACATTATGACAATATTTTTTTTATTATTCAGGTATTGTCCTAAAAGATTAGATAGAACTTCAAATCTATTAATTTGAGATCATAATGAACCAATCTTTTAGCCCAATACCTGGGGAAGACTCAATATTTGTGACTTTTTTCATTGACTTTCTTATATTTTCATAAAGGTAAAATCTGTTAATGAGCTTTGCTAGAGATTTTTGATGTTGCAGAGAGGGACAAGTTCTTGTATTTTATTGTAGAAAAAGTAGTAAATTCAGATTTAAAACAGATAAGAAATTAGCAGTATGGAAAGTCATTTTAAAATAAAAAGTTTTCTCAGACCACTCAATGGAAATAAATTTTCTGCATTCTTGAACATAAAGAAGACTTTATTACCTACAGATTTAAATGTTCAATAGCTGCAACATTGGAGCATATTTATAAAATAAAAATAAATCTGTAGTCAGACATAAAACAAGTATAACTTTTATTTGAAATTAGAACATTTAGAAATATTAAGTCAATTATGTATCATACATTTTATTATAATTGTTCTCTTTAAGTGCTCTCCAAACTGCTGCTGCTCATCGAACATCTGCTACTATTGGTAGTATAAAGTAGATCGGCATTGCTTCTTCTCCACATAAAATTCTGCTTTTTAAAAGCAATGCTCTGATCTCAAAGTCTCTTCTGAGCATTGAAAGCAAGCTTTCCCAGTATAACAAACCATCTCTAAACAGTAATTTCTTTTTCTTTTTTTCATGTTTTTTGTGGAGCATTAAATTATTCATTAGTTGCAGAGAAGTAGATTCCAACAAAAATTCTTGCCATGAAAATTCTCATCTTCTAGTCTTTGTTTTAATGTTGAATCATTGAAAATATGAGAACAGTGTGTCATGTCATTTTATTTATTTACTTGATCATGGATAACAATAATCACTTTATTAAATTAAACAAAGTATATCCTTAATTTTCTATGAGGTACGTATGCACGATTAATGGTTAAAAATATTTATAATGGATTCGTTATGGGCCTATTAGGGATATGGTTACTTACTGTTAATGACACTCTTGAACACGGTTAACTGAAGTCGTAGGCTTCCGCGGCCAGTCATGTGGGTGATCTGGGCTGTCCGGGCAGCCCAGATCACCCACACTTGGTTAACTCCTGCGTACCGTCGCACGAAAACTCATTTTTATTTCGAAATTCAGCCGAATACCTTTCAAAAAGATTCACACGTGTCCGGTTACTTTTTTCCTTCGGCTGTCTGTACATTTCATTAATGATGTTTAACTTCTATTTCTAATAAGAAACGCCAACAAAATCACTTCGAAGTTTCCAATGCCAAAAGTCCAAGAAAATACGAACAAATTAATGATTCACGAAATAAACTAGGTTGCCAAATATTCCAGAAAACACAAGAAAAGAAAGTACAGGCGAATTGAAACTTAGAAATTCAATGAAGCGAAACGCACAAACAGTTCGTGCTTATTCGCCTCTTCGTATTTCTAGGTTATTTCCAGGTTATTCCACACTTAAACTACGTGTCTCCGGTGTTTAGCGGTTGCCATGGAAACTATACCTCTCTTATTCCGTGCTCGAGATAGTCCATGTTTATTGGTAGTTTTCGCTATTCTCCTGCTATTCTGGGCTTAAGCACAGAATAAATTTTACACCACGTTTATTGGTACGGCTGATTATATTGATTGGTTGGTTGTTAGTGATTCCGAGCGCTTAAACTACTAAGATCATTAGTCCCGTAAGTGTGGTGCATTTTCTCGGGAGAGGGTGGTGGTCTTCTCCCGTAGTCTGTCGAGATCCGGCGCCATCCTACCGTAGGTTAAAGGGGTTTTCCCTTACCAGTTATCTCCCACCAACGGGGCACCGCCCCAGCCGGGACAAGTTCTGTAGTACGATTTATGTAGTCGTGCACTTGACGTAAATCAGCTATTGCAGTTTCATCCAATCGGAAGCTTATATGTCGCTCCAGCGACGTCACTACGAGGACGAGCTCCTGATTGGATGAAACCGTAAACAGCTGGAATTTACGTTAAGTTCACGGTTTGTTAGATTTATTTAGTGAAAAACGATTAAAAACTGTATGTGACGTTTTGGGGAGAAGATAATCTGCGCACTTTTTCTTGAGTTCCTGAATCCCTTCCCATCATTTTAACTATAAATAGTTGAAGGATTAGTAAAAGTTAAAAATCAACAAATAAATAAAATAAAAATAAAATTTAAAAAAGTGCGAGATTAACAACATTTGAAAATCTAGACATTTTCTTTTCCGAGTTTAGAAAACTTATTTGCAACGATAACCGAACTGCAGGTTTGATTTTTCTGCAACTAAAAACTGCATGCGACTTATGGCGGAGAAGATTACTGCGCAAGTTTTCTTGAGTTCCAGAATCCCTTCCCGTCATTTCAACTAAAAACAGTGAAAAGATGAGTAAAAGTTTAAAATAAATAAATAAAACTAAATTTTAAATAATCGCGACATTTGCAATATTTGAAAAAAAAATAGACAATTTCGTTTCCGAGTTATAGAAAGCTTATTTGCATCGGGAAACGAATTGCAAGTATGATTTTTCTGCATTGCTAACCAAACAGTAACTCGCCCTTACCTCTTCTCCTACCATTACAAGCAAAAGGAGAGTTCAACAAAACGTGTGCATAGAGAAGCTACATTTAAGTCCAGATGCAAACCAAGGGGCTATCTCAGCATTTGTTCAATGGATAAGGGAAACTGGGCAAAAATCTGATCGAGATAGGGACAAAAACTTGATCGTGTTGGCTTGTTTTACCAGAAGGGCAGAGTCGAAACTCTCATGTGCGTGTTTTGAGCGGTCCGTTGTAGGGTGTTCAGGTGTAAAGTGACCACCCAAATTGATGTCATCCTGCCACCATTTGATGATGACCGTATCCCTTTTGTGTGGGTGTACAACACACTGGCCACGTCGGTAAACCTCCCGTTAGATTTGAACACACCCGTGACAGAGAAATTGGATGGGAGTTTCCCACTGAGCAGGGAGAAGGTTTGTCGCCCATGGCTATCGGCTAAAATCAATACCTTTACGATGGGCTCAGCAGGAATGTCATTGTTTACTTGTGGGGCAGGTTGCGCAACTCCACCTGTCTTTGTTTCTTTGCTTTTGCTAGCCTGTTTGCGGTGGTTCGTGGGTGGACGTGTCGAA